AGCAGGGGTGTAATTGTATCAAGTTTTTGTTTGTTTTTTAACGCCGTACTTGGCAATATTCCAGCTATATGATGACAGTCTGTAAATAATCAAGTCTGGACCAGACAATCCAGTGAGTGACATCATGAGCATCGCTTTACACAATTGGGACATTATGACATGCATCAACCAAGTCAGCGAGCCTGACCACCCGATCCCATTAGTGGCCTTTTACAACAAGCATAGTCGCCATTTATTGCAAGCATGGGTTGCTGAAGACCTATCCTACCCCGGATCTTCACAGGTAATTTTATCAAGAGTGCCACAGGGCAGTCATTGAAATATTTACGTTCAGGACAGTCATTGAGATATTTAGGTTCAGGGCAAACACAGAGACATTTAGGTTCAGGGCAGTCATAGAGACATTTAGGTTCAGGGCAAACATAGAGATATTAGGTTCAGGGCAGTCATAGAGACATTTAGGTTCAGGGCAAACATAGAGACATTTAGGTTCAGGGCAAACATAGAGACATTTAGGTTCAGGGCAAACATAGAGACATTTAGGTTCAGGGCAGTCATAGAGACATTTAGGCTCAGGATAGTCATAGAGACATTTAGGTTCAGGGCAAACATAGAGATATTTAGGTTCAGGGCAGTCATAGAGACATTTAGGTTCAGGGCAGTCATAGAGACATTTAGGTTCAGGGCAGTCATAGAGACATTTAGGTTCAGGGCAGTCATAGAGACATTTAGGTTTAGGGCAGTCATAGAGACATTTAGGTTCAGGGCAAACATAGAGACATTTAGGTTCAGGGCAGTCATAGAGATATTTAGGTTCAGGGCAGTCATAGAGATATTAGGTTCAGGGCAGTCATAGAGATATTAGGTTCAGGGCAAACATAGAGACATTTAGGTTCAGGGCAGTTATAGAGACATTTAGGTTCAGGGCAGTCATAGAGATATTTAGGCTCAGGGCAGTCATAGAGATATTTAGGCTCAGGGCAGTCATAGAGATATTTAGGCTCAGGGCAGTCATAGAGATATTTAGGCTCAGGGCAAACATAGAGACATTTAGGTTCAGGGCAAACATAGAGACATTTAGGTTCAGAGCAAACATAGAGATATTTAGGTTCAGGGCAGTCATAGAGATATTTAGGTTCAGGGCAGTCATAGAGACATTTAGGTTCAGGGCAAACATAGAGACATTTAGGTTCAGGGCAGTCATAGAGATATTAGGTTCAGGGCAGTCATAGAGATATTAGGTTCAGGGCAAACATAGAGACATTTAGGTTCAGGGCAGTCATAGAGATATTAGGTTCAGGGCAAACATAGAGACATTTAGGTTCAGGGCAAACATAGAGACATTTAGGTTCAGGGCAGTCATAGAGACATTTAGGTTCAGGACAGTCATAGAGACATTTAGGTTCAGGGCAAACATAGAGACATTAAGGTTCAGGGCAGTCATAGAGATATTTAGGCTCAGGGCAGTCATAGAGATATTTAGGTTCAGGGCAGTCATAGAGATATTTAGGCTCAGGGCAAACATAGAGACATTTAGGTTCAGAGCAAACATAGAGATATTTAGGTTCAGGGCAGTCATAGAGATATTTAGGTTCAGGGCAGTCATAGAGACATTTAGGTTCAGGGCAGTCATAGAGATATTTAGGCTCAGGGCAGTCATAGAGATATTTAGGCTCAGGGCAGTCATAGAGATATTTAGGCTCAGGGCAGTCATAGAGATATTTAGGCTCAGGGCAAACATAGAGACATTTAGGTTCAGGGCAGTCATAGACACACTTGTAACAACTGATATCTGTTATACATATTAAAGTTTGGCTGTTTTCAGGGTTTTTTTCAGATAGTTCCACCATTTAAAACATAAATAACAGCAATATGTTTTTATTCGACAGAATAACCCGTAAATTTAAAATGAGCCCTTTGACCCGTTTATTTCTTAAGGCCACAACTAATTAATTATTTATTCTGGCCAATCTCTGAATAATAATAATAATAATAATAATAATAATAATAATATCCATTTTTAAAGGAAATGCCCTCTGTACTGTTAGTTAATTAAAAAAACACATCCTAAGAACAAATAATCAACTTGTGATGGCCTTGTGAAAAAAACACATCTTTTGTAGTAGAATAAAGAAGTAAAGACAAATTGTGAGTTTGTTTTTGTTCACACAAAACTCTTCTTGACAATTTATTATGTCAGTCAAATGAATTTTTTCAATCATTTTCTAAAGCTAAAAAAACCACATTTTTCAATAGAAATGTGGGAAGGTTTACGGAAACCAAACTCAAGCTTCACAATGATTAATGCACAGTGATAGAACCATGTGGACGAAGATCTGTATCGCATCGAGGACGCCCATAATTCCCTGCTATGTACCTGCAGGGGCTATATCACTTCCTGTTTCAGTGCTAATACGGCTATAAAAGACCCACCCACAGAGAAAGGCTGTACAGACACCACAATCCCACACTACTGCTGATCTGCACTGATTACAACGCCCAGGGAATAAACATGCTTTATATGGCCAAATAAATCATAGCCATTAACGCTATTAAATCATATGACATAAAGACAGCAATATTTCACTAACTTTTTTTTGATATTTCAAATCAGCTTTCTTTATCTGATTTGTGGTAATACTTTTTCAAATCTCTCCTTTGAATTGTGTATATACCAGCTACTCTGATGTGAGTACTAGGATATCTGGACAAATGAGAGATATTCCCATATGTTGCCTGGGTCCATCTGCACCAGTTTGTCACAATGTTGACTTATTATCAGTTATCAAGCTGTTGTTGATTCTCTTATTCTCAATCCTTAGTTTGTCTGCTACAGACCTGATTGCTGAGATACACCTGGATGATTTCTGACTGTGAAATGAAATCAAAAGCTGATGTAAAGTTAAATGATGTGGCAGTCAAACAGTTATTTTTGCAATTGTATAAAAACAACTTTGAAATCACAAGATAACTAATCCATGTAATCCTATCAATATTCCCTACCATCTAACCATCTTCATACCAATATTCCCTACCATCTAACCATCTTCATACCAATATCCCCTACCATCTAACCATCTTCATACCAAAATCCCCTACCATCTAACCATCTACATACCAATATCCCCTACCATCTAACCATCTACATACCAAAATCCCCTACCATCTAACCATCTGCATACTAATATCCTCAACCATCTGCCAACCAGTATTCCCTACCATCTAACCATCTACCTATCAATATTTCCTAACTTCTAACCATCTGCATTCTAATATCCCCAACCATTTAACCATCTGCATACCAATATTCCCTACCTTCTAACCATCTGCATACCAATATAACCTACCATCTAACCATCTGGATACCAATATCCCCTACCATCTAACCATCTGCATACCAATATACCCTACCATCTAACCACCTGCATACCAATATACCCTACCATATAACCATCTGCATACCAATATACCCTACCATCTAACCATATGCATACCAATATACCCTACCATCTAACCATCTGCATGCTAATATCCCCTACCATCTAACCATCTGCATTCCAACATTCCCTACCATCTAACCATCTGCCTACCAATATATCCTACCATCTAACCATCTTCATACTAGTATTCCCTACCATCTAACCATCTGCCTTCCAATATTCCCTACCATCTAACCATCTGCATACAAATATACCCTACCTTCTAACCATCTGCATACCAATATTCCCTACCATCTAACCATTTGCATTCCAACATTCCCTACCATCTAACCATCTGCCTTCCAATATTCCCTACCATCTGACCATCTGCATACAAATATACCCTACCATCTAACCATTTGCCTACCAATATCCCCTACCATCTAACCATCTGCATACCAATATTCCCTACATCTAACCATGTGCATACCAAAATCCCTTACCACCCAACCACCTGTCCACCAATATTCCCTACCATCTAACAACCTGTCATTTCCCCACTACCTTGCCACCTCTCTATCCATATTCCCTACCCCACGTTCCATCTGCCTTCAGTCTTCAATGTTTCTACCATCTTACTGCCTGGCTATGTTTTCTGTCTGCCAAGTATACAACTATAACCAAATATTACATTAAGAAATAAACAGCACAGTGTATCCATGTGTATCCAATTTAGAAACTATTAATTAATGGTCTAGTTTCTCAATACAGAAACAGTTGATTAAGACAGACAAGAAGAAAGCCACTGACTTAGCGAAATCAACTCATGCATCAACCCAATCAATCATTCAATCAATTCCCAGTCAAAGCAAGTGTTAGCCATTTTCCATTTCCATTGTCTACAGCAAAAGCTTACCTGGGCTTCGCGAATCAATCGTTTCTTTCGGTCCATTAGAAAGGCAAGCTAGTTCAGTTCCACGTGACCCCACAGGGGCCCCCAGGTATGCAATGTACCGTTAGTACTTGAAGAACTATACCGTTATTACATGCCTCGGAGTCGCTCGTTCTTTTACACTACCGTTACCCAATATGTCATCTACGTTTCATGTTTATCCCAGGGGAGTAACAAAATCATTAGTAAACATGATCACAAAATTGTTTGTGTCACACAAGCTTTGATTTACATCAAAGTCACTCTTTAAAGACAAATCCCAGGAAAACAGTTTACAGATTCGATCTCAAAGACACTATAACATTTATCCACACGCTTTTTACTACTGTATTAAACCACGGCATTCTTTCCAGGGAAATATAACAATGTCAACATAAATTCTATCGGGATATTATTTAATTTACTGTGGGTTTTTTGTGTGTTTTTTTTATCACAAAATTGTTTTATGAGTAGATACATATTAATATAAGTATAAACCCAGACTACCGATGGTGAATGCACGATGTCATCAACATATAATCTTCTCGTAACTTTGACAAGTTATCCCTCTAAACGGTGGTCGCGGAGTACGATAACTGTCATCACGGCCGACCCCCACTACAGCTCAAGTTAAAACAATTCTAATTTACCTGTTTGTGGGCCATCCTCCAACTTTTCACTTTTCCCTATGTGAATTAATTTTCGGTGTCCATGTTCAATTTGAAATCCTCCGTTAGGTATAAATCCATAGACACTGTCATTTCCACATCGTGAGTGAATCGCTCTCCCGCGAGCATGGTAACTCTCGCCTCCAATTCGTATGCAAATTAGTTGCTCCGGCGACTATTCATAACACGGCCGCTGTATAGGTGTTTGGGCCAACTTTCAACATAAATACGATAGCAGGCAGGGAGCACTTATACCTCCAGTGACACTCGCGCGTCTTACTGAGATAAGACATTGTCAACACCGAATGTAAAAGTATTCGTGTGGAAAATTCCTCCACAGTGTGCGATATGCTGTATGTCCAACCCCGACAATACCGCTCCAGCGGTAGATGTGTGGACTATGAGAAAGATCCGTACTGCTGATGAATAGAAGTCCATATACTTTTTCTTCTGTCTATTCAGTCTAAGTGTTAGGGATGTCTGTTCAGTCAATGTTTGTTGTGATATAATGCTGTTGGGGTCAAGAATTGCCGACCGTGTTTTTCAGATTCGATAAAACGTGACGCCTCTACTTATAGCAATAGGGGGGACAAGATTCGAAAGTAAGGTGATTGGTATGGGACATTCGTTTATGCTTGTTCAATAACACCGACAACACTGTTGTGGAATTGTTTACAAATAAGCCTAAACTTGAAACATCCCATTTTCGTGATGTCTTTCGTGGTCTTCAAATGTAAAACATCAATTCGCTCATTTTGGCAACAAAACTGATTCATGTCACTCGGGTGTATTTACAATTGATGTCTGGTGTTTATTTCCGTATATTATAAAAACAATAAGATAGCAGTTACAATCAGTTGTCCTAGGGCCTGTTTGTTGTCCTAGGGCCTGTATGTTGTCCTAGGGCCTGTGTGTTGTCCTAGGGCCTGTGTGTTGTCCTAGGGCCTGTATGTTGTCCTAGGGCCTGTATGTTGCCCCAGGGCCTGTATGTTGTCGCAGGGCCTGTATGATGTACTAGGGCCTGTATGTTGTCCTAGGGCCTGTATGTTGTCCTAGAGCCTGTATGTTGTCCTAGGCCTGTATGTTGTCCTAGGGCCTGTATGTTGTCCTAGGGCCTGTATGTTGTCCAAGGGCCTGTATGTTGTCCTAGGGCCTGTATGTTGTCCAAGGGCCTGTATGTTGTCCTAGGGCCTGTATGTTGTCCAAGGGCCTGCATGTTGTCCTAGGCCTGCATGTTGTCCTAGGGCCTGTATGTTGTCCTAGGGCCTGTATGTTGTCCTAGGGCCTGTATGTTGTCCAGTGGCCCACAATCACATAGCAGGTAGCAGACTCTGATTCGTATAGCCTAATATATTAATACATCCATACAAGCCCTGTTTATTTTCTGCTCCCTTAATGTCCCCTATACGTGTATGTTTTTTATTATCTCACTGTCCCCTTCTCTGTATATATATATGCTGTGATGCGTTTGAGATTATCCATCAGTGATGTGGAATTCAGCGCTCTTTTTCATAAGATAGTTTTAAGAATGTTTAAACTTATGAACTAAATACTTGACTAACATTCTGTCATTAAATTGTTTCATTGTGTAATAACGTTAACCTCTAAATACATTAATAAGCATTCATAGAACGCTCGAATATTACTTGAATACGCACTTTTAATAATGTGTGAAATATGCACTGGTATATAATACAATATCCTATCTCTGCAGACACTAAACAACACATGAACATTTTCAACTCATTAAATTAGTATGAATGTGAATGTTGCATAATACTAAACGCTAAAAGACACGTAAAAATGTATATTTAATGTTTTTTGCGGATCTTATACAGGTTTATATACCCGCGATACCTTGTTGTTTTGACAGCTGTGTTACAGATGTCAGCCTCGCAATAAACACGATCTCTCCTCGGGATATGCATGGAAAAACCGGTAGTAATTTCAGCGACAGTGTCGGCGTCAATATTAGCACTTAATCACGCGAGTCTGTCAATAAGTTAATAGCATTATTTAACCAAGTCGAATGCAGCATATAGCAGCTCGTGGGCTCCTGACCGCCTACATAATCAATGGTTTGCGAGGGATTTCATATACAAAGCCTAAGTGCGACTCCGATTATCTGATAAGGTGGCGAAGACTAATGTTATTGTTGACGAATCCGATCCGATTTAGAGTAACGGACGGGTACATTGTTCTGTTGGAATTACCCGAATTCAGTAAATGGGATAAATACACGAATGAAGCTTTTGTTGGTGAAGTCGGTTTTGACACAAACAATGGCATCATCTAAAGTACTGAACTTGAAGATGTGCTCGTAACCAGAGACTGGTCTCTAATGTTATATGCCTGGGATTCGCAAAAGTTTGGTAACTGAAGAAAATAGCTGCTTTTATACATAGGCTTTTTAAAAATGATTCCATAACTACGAAAGTTATTGAAGCTTTTCTGTATGTGAATGAGACTGTGTGTTCGCAGGTCATGGTTGCGAGTGAGTGAGTGAGGTTTTACGCCGCTTTTAGCAATATTAAAGCAATATCACGTTGGGGGACTCCAGAAATGTGCTTCATACATTGTACCCATGTGGGGAATTGAACCCGGGCCTTCGGTGTGACGTGTTTAATCTTTAGGCTTCCCCACCGCCGCCGTATAGTCAATTGCTTTGAGTGGGTGAGTGAGTGAGTGAGTGAGTGGGTGGGTGGGTGAGGGGGGGGGGGGGGGGGGGGGGGGGGGGAGGGAGGGAGGGAGGGAGGGATGGAACTGACGCATTGAACGGTATGTTAGCCACCGTGTGTCAGCCGAATGTGAAGCTGGTCGAAACCGAAGTCAAACTGTCAGATGAAAGGTCATAGTCAGGGCGAATCTTGGATAGAAACCGATGTCAGCGGATCCTGACACGTCCATGGGGCGCAACCATGGCGAATTACAGCGCCTCAGAACGCAGGGTCGTCCGTGTCCCATATCTAAGTGCAAAAGATGTGGAATCTAGTTTTTTGTCGGACAAAACAAAACTGCCTCCACGCGTCACGGATCGTAACCACTCATAGCTTTGCAGACATATCGATTATTCATCACACCTGCATACATACCTGGTGGTAAGACTGTTTAGCGCACAGATTGGACTAAGTTCATGAATAATAACAGTAACTTGTCCAGGCGACTTTTATTGGTCAATAGGGGGTAAAAGAAAATATTATTTGAGGTCCATATCCTTCAAAACACTGTTGAAATAAGAGTTATAATTATTTTGTATTTTTCAGAACGATGGCCAAAACAAATATTTCATGCACCAAAGAGGTTTTGAAGATGTTTCGGCTCTTGAAACCTTTAGGGCTGATTCGGGGGCACGGGTGGCCCAGTCGTCTAAGGCGCGGCGATTCGCTGTGCAGAGTTGCGTCCCTTGGGCACGCCAGAAACCTATGATTGTGGGTTCGAATCCCGGTTCACCCCGATTATGTTTCTAGGTTTGTCAGCACCATACCCGTGCTCGTGGGTTTCACCGAAGTGGTAAACGTCTGAGACCTGCATCACTTCGGGCTTTCCTCCCACATTAAGCTGACACGCCGCGATATAACTGGAATACTGTTAAAAGCGGCGTTAAACCCAACTCACTCACTCACTCACTCACTCACTCACTCACTCACTCACTTAGGGCAGATTCATACTTAACATACGACACAACATCCATATATGCAGAATTGCATTTTGTTTAGAATAAGTAATTTCATGACCCGCGAAGATCCGGGTGGAACTGGTCTTCAGCAACCCATGCTTGCCGTGAAAGGCGACTATGCTTGTCGTAAGAGGCGACTAACGGGATCGGGTGGTCAGGCTCGCTGACTTGGTAGATACATCGCATTGTATACCAATTGCGTAGATCGATGCTCATGATGTCAATCACTGGATTGTCTTGGCCAGACTCGATTATTTACAGACCGCCGTCATATAGCTGGAATATTGCTTAAACGAGAAACAAAGTAATTTCAATGGCTGAACATACATTCTCATTCTTGGCAGATAACGTGGACATGGAAAATGTTCCTTGCGTTGGGTATATTTTACGACTGCTTCGCTCATCTAAAAGGACCATGAAAATCGCTTGATTCAAGTTAAAAACACATCGTCATTTCTGTAAACAAGGTCCATTTTAATTATGATGTATATTGGTCTATAAATTCATACAAAGTATCATTACACAGATACAATGTCTAAGTTTCACTCAAAAAATAAACTAATGACAACGTCGAAACCGAAGCACAAAATATACACCTTGCACTAGGCAACGTGGCGAGTTCTGCAGATGATAACCTGTCAAAGATGTTGGAGATTTAGAACGTGAATATGTGAGTATGGTTTTACGCTGCTTTTAGCAACATTCCAGCAATATCACGGCGGCGGGGGTTGGGGGTGTGTTTCCTGAAATGTGCTTCATACATTGTACCAACGTGGGGAATCGAACCCGGTGTGTGACGTCTTTAATCTTTAAGCTACCCCACCGCCGCCGTTAATTGCTTTTGATTTAAGGACGTGAGTGTGTGAGTATATATATAGAGGATTCATCATGAGTGTGTTTTAATATGGGAAATATCAACCGAGTCTTAGTTAATCGGTATTTGCCGAGCCTTTGGCGAGGCAAATACCGATTAACGGGACGAGGTTGATATTTCCCATATTAAAAAACACGAGTGATGAATTCTATTTATCATTTTCACATTTTTGCTTCCAAATTAAGGAATAATTGCATTAAACATTAACATCAGCAACTTGTCGAAATCTTACGTATAGATCGTGCGTAGTGATACATGTTTTCCATAGCCATGTAAACCAAAATAAACAATTCGCTGAGAAAAAAAGTTCCTCGGATTATTTTAAACAAAATACTTGAACAGACTTTTGCAGAATAATTGAAACTTTAATAACGGCAACAATAACGGTAACAACAACGATTCTGTGTAATCTGATTATATCTCTGGTGTAACTTCACTTATAATATATAGTTTCAAATCAAACCGCTCGCTCTTCCGGTTATCAAATTTGCATTTCTAATTTGCATACTTATGTCATTGGGGTATTACATACATGTTTTTATGTCATAAGCTTATGTCATGGATAAATGCTTAAGTTAAATGATAAATGGCTTTACGCTGCTTTCAGCGTGTGCTTCGGCGTGACGTGCGAACGAGTTAACATCTAAGCCACCAAATTGCTCATTTAAAGAGGAAAATTATGTGGTACTTATGTGTATGTATGATATAGTCAGATCACAAACGAGTGATAGAAGATTGTTTACTAGCGGTGCCATACGTTTGTTCTATGCATTTATTATGTTAAGCGGCGTGATATCGATGTCAGATATGATATTTCATGCATGGAAAATTCAATCGCTTAAAACAAGCAATGGAACAGTCTTTATTTGATCTTTCATAGTCGTGTTTATGTGGCAGTTACAGGTTTTGTTTAACTGTCAACTAACCAGTAATATACCAGTAGTATATAGTGTATATAATACATAGTGTAGTTAGTATTAGCATTAGTATTATTATTAATATTAGTATTTAGTATTAGTATTTATTATTAATATTAGTATTTAGTATTAGTATTTAGTATTAGTTTGCAGTATGGGTTTTAGGGATTTTAATGAAAATTTGATACAACACCTTTTAACTTAGTTATGCTTGGGTCAGTCACTACCCTATCAGCTCCTTTGTGTCAGCCAGGGCAAATGTTCTGGTTGAGTGGTTGACCCTATTGTTTTCCTTAGGGTCAGCTTTGCATGCTTTTTAACCCTCACTTGCACCTCAGTCAGTGACATCATTTATCGATGCACACACATATTCTGCTACACTTAGACTATCCCTCTATCCCGACAAAGTGACAAAGCCTACAAACTGTCACCAAGCAGTGTAGAGCATGACAACCCCAGGTGGTACGTCTCGACCACGACATAGCCGATGATGACTTCCACAATAACACATTGTGTCAACTGCACCTCTCTCCATATCACCATACAACATCCAGCCATCACCTAAACGGCTTAAACACTCTGTGATAGCTGGTTCTAAGCGATGGGATGAGTGTAAAGTACTCGAATTTGGATATTTTTTGGAGAAACTCAATTCAAGATTTGGAATGCTAGACATTGTACGTCATAGTTTCGATCCGGTTGATCTCATCAGAAGATAAATGTTGAAATTTCCACGAAATATACACGCCGTGGTAAAACTTATATATTCTTCAAAGCGACGTGAAACACAACTCACTCGCTCACTTACCGTGTCTCCTGTCATCACATATTTAAAGTATTTCTGCTGGGTATTTTTTTCTTGATTATTGAATAAATGACAGCTATGGGTACCTTTACAACTTTTTCTCTTGGCATAACTACCAAAATAAGTCAGGTTTTTAACGTACCTGTATTTCAATAATAACGCCATTGGGGAACAGTAGACTACAATTAGCGACATGCTTATATAGATACACTATATTAAAATATCAATAGATAAACTATATCAAAACAGAAAGATATGTAAGAAAAGCTATATTTTATCCTCTAATGCTGATAATAAATACCAAAAATTATTGGGTTCAAAATAATCTATCTGTCTGTCTGTCTATCAATCAAAATGAAACCAGTTAAAAGCTGAGGTATGATTCAATGGTAATGCTTACAGGCAGAGACCATGTACCAATAGACTCTATATGGTCTCTGTTACAGGTAAAAAGAGAAGGCGGGTTAATCAAGGGCAGATAACTCCGAACAGTCAAACAAAATGGCTGACAAGGAGAGCACCGACGTGTCAACATCATCAACTCAAGCCAATAACCCGCTGTCACGCAAGTTGAATAAAATACTAGAATCCAGACTTGACAATGACAAGGTAAAACATCTTTGCTTACAAAGTAGTGTCATGAGATAATTGATCAAGGCTAAAGTTTCACGACACAGATTCCTGTTCGGTTTTCGATCAAATGAGGGTCTGTAAATTTGTAAATAGAAGCTAACATGATATAACTGTCATGACTACGGTGAATGTTTAGGCCTTTACCGTTATTGGTCATTATACACGATGGTATAAGATTTTTCTTATTTATCTGGAACTGGAATATTATAATGAATACAAAATGCATTTATCAACGCGTCATCTGCCGACAGACATAAACAAATATTCCCCAAATTATAAATAACACTATTTACTGTGAAGTTTTTTGCCGTGTTTAGCGTATGCATGCTTGAAAAGTGCTAAATAGGTTTAAAATTATATTTTGGGGAAGAAATGACTGACAGACGTGACAGAACTAAATGTGCATTGAAGATGTTGGCTTTTTGTTTATGTGACACTCTATGCAGTTTGTCTTTCCTAAAGTTGTGTTTTAGCAAGGTGCTTCTCCGGTGTATTTTTAATCTTTCCAAACTGGTTAGGTTCATCGTTTAAGGATTTATAATTCTCCCATCTAATAAAAACGAACAAAAGTCAAACTAGTCACGATCAAATGTGAGCTGTAACAGGACATTAGCAATAATTGGTCTTTGGCAGTAACTGGTTCATTTGTGTTGTCATGGTTATTTTTGCAGGATATGTTGGAGGCTCTCAAGGCCTTGTCAGTATTTTTCTCAGAGAACAGCCTACGAACACGAAGAAATCTTCGCAGTGATATTGAAAAAAGAAGTCTCGCTATAAATGAGGAGTTTCTGGATGCATTTCAAGTTGTCAAAGAGGTAAACCTACTGAACATCACAACAAATGGGTGTTTGTATCAGGGAGTCTTTTTGCAGTATATAAGACATATAAATTCATAAATATAGAACCTTGCTGTTTGTGTGTTGTATCAGTAGAATACCACCATTGTAGCTGAAATACTACTCATTGCTATGAATGCTGCTAGACACAAATAATTAGTAAATTTGTATTCAACATTCATGGTCACCATTCACACACATAGAACATAAAAATAGTTGAAATATGAGCTGTGGCTACCACATCCCCTTGTTTGTTGATTGTTTATTATCAGCTGTATTTTGTCACTGCTTAGACGTAACCTTATAGTGAGTGAGTGAGTGTGTTTGGTTTACCCCTCTTAAACAGTATTTCAGTCATGTCGTTCTTGTTGTGCAGGGCCTGAGTGAGTATGGTTTAATGCCGCTTTTAGCAATATTCCAGCAATACCATGGCGGGGGAACCCAGAAATTGGCTTCACACATTGTGCCCATGTGGGGACTCGAACCAGGGTCTTCAGTGTGAAGAGCAAACACTTTAACCCCTTCAAACACGACCCCACCGTCCCGATGTGCAAGGAAAGCCTGCAGTCTTAGACATTTGCCACTTTGGTGAAACACTTGAGCATAGGTATGGTGCTGCAGGGTTTTACTTGATGCAGAAATGTGAGGAATGGATGAAGAAGAAACACAATAATATTCATTGTACCAAATTCTTTATATGAATTTAAATAGGTTCTGTAATTAAAGTTATTGTCAAGTCTTACCATGCTTGCAGTACACTCGTCACTACACTTCATAACTTTACAGGACCCTCATCTTTCCTGTATGGACCCTTGAAATTAATTATTTGGCTCCCTTGGACCCCTATTTTTCTCAGTCAAAGTAAAGCCCTGGTGCTGACAAACCTAGAAACATTATAGGTGCGAATCTGAAATATTAACCCATGATCAAAAGGTTTATGCACTGCAAGTTGCTAGCTTTGTACAACCAGGTCACTCCTGCCCCCTACTACCGTCAGAATATCCTCTTGTAAGCATAGTCCTTGAGCAATTCCATCAGTATGAAACAATGTCATGTGTTTTGTTGCCGTTATTCAGCAACTGGACAGTGTGTACGCTGATGTGAAAGGTATGAACGACTGCTGCCAGGACATGACAAACAGACTGAAGGTGGGTAGTGCTAGTTTCACGATCAAACTACTACCCTGTTGGTTCTTGTCTTATGGACATAATATTATATGAAATGATGATTCAGTGGTCAAATGTCCAAGGAATGTTTTTAAATATTTCATAAGGGGCATTAATCTGTAATCATTGTGAGACATTACTAGACATATTAATACAGATAAATGTGTCAGGGGCAGGCACTGTCACCCACTATTTACGATGAAAATCAGGGAACCTGATGACATGTTTAAGGACATCTCTTCACTGAATACTGATGTTAATTACTAATGATACAGGAAAGATGGTGAAGACATCTGAAGTTGTTGATCAAAGTGGTTTTGCCCAGTTTGTAATGTTTGGAACACAGTATTGACCCACTATGTTATTCCTAGGCTGCCAAAGAACAGACTCATGACCTGATTAACCAGACCACCACCCTGCAGGCCGAGAGGTAAGCTTGAACCTTATCAAGTTGGTGTCAAAGAGATCCATATGTGACGCCCTTTGTAGGTGTCAAAGAGTTCCATATGTGAAGCCCATTGTTGGTGTCAAAGAGATCCATATGTGAAGCTCATTGTTGGTGTCAAAGAGTTCCATATGTGAAGCCCATTGTTGGTGTCAAAGAGATCCATATGTGAAGCTCATTGTTGGTGTCAAAGAGCTCCATATGTCAAGCCCATTGTTGGTGTCAAAGAGATCCATATGTGAAGCCCAATGTTGGTGTCAAAGAGATCCATATGTGAAGCTCATTGTTGGTGTCAAAGAGATCCATATGTGAAGCCCATTGCTGGTGTCAAAGAGATCCATATGTGAAGCCCATTGTTGGTGTCAGAGAGTACACTATGTGAATCCATTCATTACATCCATCCGCTGTCTGACGTAGTAACTTGCCCGAGTTCTGCCTGTGACTGTGTGTTGTCGTTGTTGTTGTTCCCAGTCAGAAGGTGCAGATGAAGTCCCAGGTGGCCGACGCCTTCCTCAACAAGTTCCAGCTGAAACCAGAGGAGGTGAAGATCCTGCGGGGTACCCGTGATGGCCACTTACATCGGGTAGGTACATCAATCAACAAGTAAAGAAATCAGTTAAAAGTAAACCTATATAACTTCTTTGTCCTTAAGTCTATGCTATGGCCTGATGTAAGACCTTCATTTGTTTTGAACTAAAGATGACTATACTTTAGAATTGTCCAAGAAGGCTTGTTTTAACAAGAATTACTAATTTCTGTCTACATATACAAACATAAGATATAAAATACGAGACACATTATCATGTTGAGGATGGCATGCTTGTCTGTCAGAGTTTTCCTGTGTCAACACACACTCATGTACTGTGTTATTTATGCAGGACTTCTTCAGTGCTCTGTCCCGAGTCAAGCAAATCCATACAGATTGCAAGTTTCTCCTCCGCACAAACCAGCAGACAGCAGGGTAATATAGCCATCTTGACATTGTGGGTGCTTTCATTGATTTAATCATGTATTATTACAGGAACATTATCAAGTTCCAGAGTAGTACATTTTTTTCTCATTTATAAATTTTTTTCTTCTCATCGGTCTCTGCCGCTAATGTCTTTCACATGTGTGTTGGCAGGTACACATAGACTGTAGATGGGACTTGACATTGCACTGTTACATTACATTACATTAAATTACATTTACAAAGATCCAGGGTAGAATTCAGCAGCCCATGTTTGTCATAAGAGGCGACTAATGGGATCGGTTGGTCAGACTTGCTGACTTGGTTGATGCATGTCATTGTATCCCAATTGCACAGAGCAATTCTCATGATGTCAATCACTGGATTGTCTGGTCCAGACTCAATAAACAGATCGCTGCAGCAGTAGAAATTATCAGTTTTAGTCCACTAGATCTTATAATGGTAACATATAGCAAAACCCCTAAAAAGGGCAAATTTCTACCAGTCCTAAGGATACCTTACCTATTGGCAAGGACTATAGGCCAATTTCTAGCAGTGCTGCTGTCATATAGCTGGAATATTGCTGAATGCGGTGTCAAACAAGCAAACAAAAGAAAACATGCCACATTTCTATATGTCAGTGACTTCTACCTGCCTTGAGCTACGTGTGGTCCTGGTTACAGTGGGGCGGCACGGGTGGCCCAGTCGTCTAAGGCACCTTGATTCGCTGTGCAGAGTTGCGTCACTTGGGCACGCCAGAAACCTATGATTGTGGGTTCGTTCCCGGTTCGGCCCGATTATGTTTCTAGGTTTGTCAGCACCATATCCATGCTCGTGGGTTTCACCGAACTGGTAAACGTCTGAGACCTGCATCACTTCGGGCTTTCCTCCCACATTAAGCTGACACACAGTGATATAACTGGAATAATGTTACAAAGCGGCGTTAAACCCTACTCACTCACTCACTGATTGTTACAGTGTTTGTCCTTGTATATTCCAGGCTGGAGATCATGGAGTCCATGGCCCTACACCAGGAATCTGCTTATGAGAGACTGTATCGATGGACTCAAAGTGAGGAACTAAACACATTGGTTTCATTTTTATTTCGGCTCTCCTGGGAAGAATAGGGCCCGGCAACCAATACTTTTTGGAAGAGCCGATTACATTGTGCAAACCGGCTAATTGGGTTTCATTGTATCACAAAAGCTTGTATCATTACTCATGTTCCCCTATGTACCAGTCACTGTGATGTTGCTAGAATATTGATCCCTTCCTCACTGTGTTTGTCTTACAGTCGTCATGACAACAGTCTCAGGTAACACAAAGTCAGGTTTTACAGGCAGTGGCTTGTTTCTAGAACTGAGTGTAGATTTACCTGATGCAGTGATTACCTTTATATGAAAATCGTCCTAGATTTGTAAATACTAAATGACACGTTTCAGATGAATGTCGGACACTGACAAGCGACTCTCCTGATATTCAGCCGGTGCTGTGCCAGGCCATGGGTGCTCTCAAGGACAGACCTGTCTTGTTCAAGTGAGTTCCACTATAGGGGCAAGGGTCTAAGGTGCCACTGCTTGCTTTGCAGCGTTGCGTCCCTTACCCATGACAACATCTGCTGATTGTTAGATTGATGAAACACATAGATTGATAAATCACTTAGACTGATGAAACACATAGATTGATAAATCACTTAGACTGATGAAACACATAGATTGATGAGACACATAGTTTAAATACACACATTGATGAAAGGTAGATTGATGAAACACATAGATTGATGAAACAAATTGATTGATGAAACACATAGATTGATGAAACACATAGTTTAAATAAACACATTGATGAAACGTAGATTGATGAAACAAATAGATTGATGAAGAACATAGATTGATGAAACACATAGTTTAAATAAACACATTGATGAAACATAGATTGATGAAACACATTGATTCATGAAACACATAGATTGATGAAACACATAGATTGATGAAACACATAGATTGATGAAACACATGTGAACAAAGAAACATGTGAGGGGAGTGAATCACTGCCACTTGAATGTGTGTTGCGGATGTCTGTCAGGTGGGTGTGTTTTGCAGGTATTCTCTGGATGAGTTCGGCACTGCTAGGCGAAGTGCTGTTGTCAGAGGCTTTATTGATGCTCTTACCAGGGGAGGTAAGTCACAACAAAAACAAAATCAAGACCCCTGAAAACATAAGTACCAAACTCAATACCACCACAATCACTTTACTTATGATATTTCTGGGAGTTTTGCTGCAAATAACATCATCAGCTGATCAATGTGTTAACATGGTTAGTGTCTAGTCTGTAATCCAGTGGGAATGCTAAGATCAATGTTCGACTCTTACAGATATAACGTGAACAATGTTACACAACATTTTTTAAGGTACAATTTTTCTATCAATCTGTCAGCCATCTTTGTAAATAATTGCATTGAAATTGTTTAACATTATATTACAGGTCCTGGCGGTACACCCCGACCTATTGAGTTACATTCCCATGATCCTCTGCGTTATGTGGGCGACATGTTGGCATGGCTTCACCAAGCTGCGGCTTCAGAGAAGGAGCACCTGCAGACACTGATGAAAAATTGTGAAAGTAGGTCACACCAGTTTAAAAAAACTGAAACAATCCATGAATAATAAATTGTAAATTATATATGTACGGTTCGATTGAGAGGTGCATCTTGATGACTGTATTTGATTTGTATGCAGTTCATGCACAGCTGTCTAAGGCACTGCAATTTTTGTGAGCAAATTTGCATCCCTTAGGTGAACCAGGATCCTGTGATTGGTTTTGTCAGCACCATAACCTTTCTCATTGGTTTCATATGCTTCTGGACTTTCCTCCCCATAGAGATGCCACACTCAATCTCATTAAAATCAGATCTTAGTTTTCGCTACCGCTATACAAAGATCTGAGGACATCCCATTACGGGTCACGTCAGAACGACCTTTCAAGAATTTTGACCGACCAATGAAATGACTGACAAGAAATCGACATTGGCCAATCAGATAGCAGCTTTCTCGAGCTTTACGACACTAGTTTCAAACTGGCGACTACGCTTCGAAACATATTTTGACGTATTCTCGATTCAAAAGTTTAAAACTGATAAGAGGAACATTCTGGAATAGCTTATAGATGGCCTAGATTGTATGGATATAATCATAAAACCCGTAACTGTCGTTCGGAATACCCCGTGTTAGATGTATTGTGGTTGCATGATTAGAAAACACATTTCGACTGTCACTTTCATGATCTGATAAGCGAGGCTTTGATTGGTCGGATGAAAGATCGTTCTGATGTGATCCGTAATGGGATGTCCTTAGATCTTTGTTTAGCGATAGCGAGAACTAAGATCTGATTTTAATGAGATTGTGGCACACTGTGACTGAACTGAAATACTATTCAAAGCAGCATTAAACCTGGCAGTTACACACTCACTCACTTTAAGCCTTGCCTAAATCAGGTGTGATAAACTATTGTTTATGTTCATATGACCATGGTGTGTGTTTTCAGCCCCCAGCAGCCTAATAGAAGACATTCTGGGCCATGTGTCGGAGGGCATCTGCAGACCATTCAAGGTACGTGTCCATTGGCAGTTGTCTCCCAGGGGAGGTGACTCGTACATATATTTGTTTAGCATTGGTAACCATCATTACAAATCACTTCCACAGAAATGCTGGGAATGGCTGCCGTCTAATGATATTGGATGGCTTGTCCTAGCCAAAGACTTTGTCCAGACCCTGTCCAAAAGTGGCTGGTAGGGTAGCCTGGTGGTTAAAGTGTTCACTTGTCACACTGTTAACCTGGGTTTGATTCCCTACATGGAATCAAAGTGTAAAGTCTATGTCCTGTGTCCCCCAGTGGTGTTATTGCTGGAATTATTGCTAAAACCCATATAAAACCCAATTTGCTCTCTCCCACTCCCGACCGCCTCCATGGTTTAGTGGTAGAGCTTCCTTCCGGGTCCGGGGTTTGATCCCCGGCTGCGTCATACCAAAAGACGTTAAAAGATGGTACTTGTTTTTACCCTGTCTGGCGCTCGGCATTAAGGGGCTAAGACAAGGACTGGTCGGCTCGGAGTCAGTATACTGTGTCTGAGTGAGGTATTCATGTTAAACTGTGGCATGGTATCTCAGTGGGCTAGCACTATAAATCGGCATCAGTCCAGACTCAGTGAGCACTAGAGGTGTTATTACGGTCGACCTATTTGTTTGTTTGTTTGTTGTTTAACACCGCTCTCAGCAATATTCCAGCTATATGACGATGGTCTGTAAATAATCGAATCTGGATCAGACAATCCAGTGATTGACTTCAGGAGTCGAGTTATTTGTTGGATGATCTAAACTATGCATTGAGCATCCTCTGAAGTACCATCTGAGAAAAAATTTGGAAATTAAGACCTGATTACAGAGAGAACAGTGGAGAGTAAAACGAGCTGCATCTTCGTTTGTATGTTAGATAAGATAATATTTATAAGATATTTTATATTGTCTTATCCATCATCTCCATAGTGGACATGTGGCTTGTATTGTCCAGTATATCGATTTCAAGGTCTTATCTAGTTACACCATTAAGTACAATCCGCCTCTCTCTAATCTTCAAAGCGAAGTTAAATTACCGTATTCGACGTAATAAGCGCCCAGGATGCTCTCAAAATTAGAAATAGGGGGCTCTTATTAGAATATAATTTTGGTGAGATTAAAAATGAGGTTGAAAGATTGTAAATTTTGGGGTTTATGCTGACAGCCTGAAATGATATAAAAGAAGAATGTGTGTGTTATACACGATAGATATGTTTTTCCAGAATTTAATTGCCCCAAATTAAGGGTGCATATAACAAACGAGTGCATATTATACACGAATAAATAAGTCTTGTGTATATTGATCAATCAGAAAGGGTGCTAACTGGGATTGTTCACTAGCCAATATATTAGCAAATATCACCCTGGGCGCTTATTAGAGCGGGGCGCTTATTACGTCGAATACGGTATCTTTGAAGCAAAGTTAAATCTATTTGACCTCGACTCTCCCACTCCCATTGCATGAGTCTTTGGACTCCCTGCCACAATGTTGTTTGAGTATAGCTTGAAGCATCATAGAACACAGCAGAGTGGTAGGCCTGTGTGTCCCGTGAGCGTGCGATGTAGAGCTGACAGGAAGTTCTTGTTTCCAGGTGCGGGTGGAGCAGGTGTTGCTGTCGGAACAGGATGCCGTCACCCTGTACAAGCTGGACAACCTGCTCAAGTTCTACCATTACACCATAGGGTAGGCAGTAGTGATTACTCCTCCATCTTCCCCGTGGGGTTCTGGCACCGCAAGTTTCCCCACTACCAAGGCTAACATGTCATGAGAGCCAAATGATGAGGATTGGGTGGTCACTTTGTTCTAAGCATCCATCTTAGTGCAATACGACTAATGTAAGTCTATCTTAAAGTATGGGTGCCACGACAGGTATTGTTAGTCTCCGTTAAGGTATGGGTTCAACAACAGCTAATGTAAGTCTATCTTTAAGTATTGTGCCGTGACAGGTTTTGATAGTCTATGGGTGCCACGACAGCTATTGTATTTGTTTGTTTGTTTGTTTGTTATTTAACGCCACATTCTTCAGTATTCCAGCTTTATAATCCAGTGATTGACATCATGAACAATAATCCATACAATTGGGATACGATGACATGCATCAACCAAGTCAGCATGTTTGACCACCTGATCCCACTAGTCGCCTCTTACGACAAGCATAGTTGACTTTTATTGACTCTTATGGCAGTCATGGGTTGCTGAAGACCTATTCTATCCCGGATCTTCACAGGTCACAGCTTTTGTAAGCCTATGTTAAAGTGTGGGTGCCGCGACAGGTATTGTAAGTCTAAGTTAAAGTATGACTGAAGTTTCACAACAGCTGAAGCCCCATGACTATTGCAAGCCTATGTGGATGATGTTGATTGTTCGTCATGCTTTCAACCAGTGGTGTCGATGACCAAGGACTTGATGTCCCCTATGATATTACGTGAATATTGATTGTGTAGGATGTTCTTTAATATCAGGGTCGTCACTTGCGTTAAGTTAGCAGTTTGGTTGTTTATGGTGACAGACTTATCATCGGATGTCTGTATCCCAGCATGCATGTGTAGGCTCACTGGATCCCTCAGGGCAGTGTTTCTGTTACAGGCAGATCATCACGAGTGAGGCGGCGCTACTGTCGACCATCATGGACATCCAGGATCTCAGTCACAGAATGTTCTTCAACAGTCTCACCTGTAATGCCAACAAACTGCTGGACAAGGTAGCGCCATGTGCACGTGTTATACTTAGTGAAGTTACTGTTGTATCACGTGATCACATTAATGTAACAGGTTTCCTTGGAACCCATGGGTAAACAAGGCCCCAATAACCAGTGCTTGTCCTGCAAGCATTCTAGCCCAGACAAGGTGTTTTACATCCCGTGTTTGCCTCCCCTTTGGAATCCCAGATAAGAGTGGGTACCTAACATCCCATGATTGCCTCCCCTTACGAATCCAAAAACAGTAGCAGGTACCTAACATCCCATGATTGCCTCCCCTTACCAATCCAAAAACAGTAGCAGGTACCTAACATCCCATGATTGCCTCCCCTTACGAATCCAAAAACAGTAGCAGGTACCTAACATCCCATGATTGCCTCCCCTTACCAATCCAAAAACAGTAGCAGGTACCTAACATCCCATGATTGCCTCCCCTTACCAATCCAAAAACAGTAGCAGGTACCTAACATCCCATGATTGTCTCCCCTTACCAATCCAAAAACAGTAGCAGGTACCTTATGTCCCGGAGTAGTCTCCCCTTTTGATTCTTATTGTATTTAACATTGCATTCAAATCAATAATGACTCTTCCTCTTTATTGGTTCTGTTATCAGTAAAATACAAGTCACCTCCACCAAGCCGGCACATTAGTTATACTATATTTGTTAATATGAATTAAAACATTATTAATTCTCATTTGGAAATTTTTGCTGACATTAGCTGCAGACTTGGAGTCGAATATCAGCCTCTGATCAGGCCTAGATACACCCCTGTACATGTAATGATATTTAACCAGCTTTAGCGGACTCAATGACAGTGGGATGTTTGACATGTTCTGCAGTATTGACTTTCTCTGGTCTCCAGGTGGAGTTACCTCCCTCTGACCTGGGCTCGACGGCGTCCTTGACTCAGACCCTGCAACTGCTGCGTGATGTCCTGGCCTGTCATGATGCCTCGGTTGTTCCCATCGACGACAAGAAGCAGGACTTCAAACAGGTCAGTTTGTTCAGAATTAGTTTGGTTCCAGGGCCAACTAGGCGCCAAACATCCCATGACTGTCTCCTTGGGAATCCCAATATTGCAAACCTAACAGACCAATACAAGCATCTTTGAAACACTGCAGATTGAAAATGTTTTGTTAATTTATTTGTTATAACTCTAAATTATTTGTTTACATATGTAAAATGCCTCTGAATTATGTGACAGATATGATGATGCCAGAACCTGTGGATTAAAAGTCATTGCCTGAGAACAAATCAGATTTATTGTTCATCCTAAGAGATACACCTGAGAGGATATCAAACAAAATTATCAAAAAATCATATGCAAGATTATGTTAGTTTGGTAAAGCTTTTTGTCAATATCACAAACAGAACAAAATCTATAGACCCTTTCCAATTACCGGGTATATGATTTACGAAATTAATAATATTAAAATATTTTCATTTCAGACAGTGTTTGTCTTATATCCATCAGTCAGACTTCATTAAAGAAAGGAAGCATTTGCCAAGTTGATTAATTCTGACAATTTGGCAATTGCAGATTTTGTCTTGTGTTGTGGACCCACTGATACAGATGTGTTCAGTGTCGGCCAGCCGTCTCAACACGGTGGACATGGCTGCGTACATGATCAACTGTATCTACCTGATGCAGTCCACACTCGCTCTCTACGAGTTCACAGACACCCGCCTGGAGATGCTGCAAGCTCAGGTAACAAAACCTTGTGAACCCGTGGGTGTTCCGGGGTGGAAAAGGTCCCAAAGGAACTTGTCCTGTTTGTAAACCCATGGGTGTTCTGGGGTAGGATAGGTCCCCAGGAACTTGTCCTGCTTGTAAACCCGTGGGTGTTCTGGGGTAGAATAGGTCCCCAGGAACTTGTCCTGTTTGTGAACCCGTGTGTGTTCTGGAGTAGAATAGGTCCCCAGGAACTTGTCCAGCTTGTAAACCCGTGGGTGTTCCGGGGTAGACTAGGTCCCCAGCAACTTGTGCTGCTTGTAAGAGGTCATCAGACTCAGTGACTTGGTTTGAAACATGTCTTTGTATGGTGCCGTTGATCGTTGCTAACAATATCTATTACTGGGTTGTCTTGTATTACTGGGTTGTACTAATGTACTTACAGATTGCTGTCATATGGCTAGAATATTGCTGAGTGTGGCTTTAAACAACAAACAAACAATCTTGTAGAAGAACAAAGAATGTAGAGTGGGTTTGAAGTAGTTGCAACTCCCTGGTTCACTGATGTGTTGGTTTGTTGTGGAATCTTCTCATTGCTGCGTTGGTTTGTTGTGGAATCTTCTCACTGCTGCGTTGGTTTGTTGTGGAATCTTCTCACTGCTGCGTTGGTTTGTTGTGGAATCTTCTCACTGCTGCGTTGGTTTGTTGTGGAATCTTCTCACTGCTGCGTTGGTTTGTTGTGGAATCTTCTCACAGCTGCGTTGGTTTGTTGTGGAATCTTCTCACTGCTGCGTTGGTTTGTTGTGGAGTCTTTCCACTGCTGCGTTGGTTTGTTGTGGAATCTCCTCACTGCTGCGTTGGTTTGTTGTGGAGTCTTTCCACTGCTGCGTTGGTTTGTTGTGGAGTCTTTCCACTGCTGCATTGGTTTGTTGTGGAGTCTTTCCACTGCTGCGTTGGTTTGTTGTGGAGTCTTTCCACTGCTGCGTTGGTTTCTTGTGGAGTCTTTCCACTGCTGCATTGGTTTCTTGTGGAGTCTTTCCACTGCTGCGTTGGTTTCTTGTGGAGTCTTTCCACTGCTGCGTTGGTTTCTTGTGGAGTCTTCTCACTGCTGCGTTGGTTTGTTGTGGAGTCTTCTCACTGCTGCATTAGTTTCTTGTGGAGTCTTTCCACTGCTGCGTTGGTTTGTTGTGGAGTCTTTCCACTGCTGCGTTGGTTTGTTGTGGAGTCTTCTTACTGCTGCATTTGTTTCATGTGGAGTCTTCTCACTGCTGGGTTGGTTTCTTGTGGAGTCTCTCCACTGCTGGGTTGGTTTGTTGTGGAGTCTTTCCACTGCTGCATTGGTTTGTTGTGGAGTCTTTCCACTGCTGCTTTGGTTTCTTGTCGAGTCTTTCCACTGCTGCGTTGGTTTCTTGTGGAGTCTTCTCACTGCTGCGTTGGTTTCTTGTGGAGTCTTCTCACTGCTGCATTGGTTTCTTGTGGAGTCTTTCCACTGCTGCGTTGGTTTGTTGTGGAGTCTTTCCACTGCTGCGTTGGTTTGTTGTGGAGTCTTCTTACTGCTGCATTTGTTTCATGTGGAGTCTTCTCACTGCTGCGTTGGTTTCTTGTGGAGTCTTTCCACTGCTGTGTTGGTTTCTTGTGGAGTCTTCTTACTGCTGCACTGGTTGTTGTGGAGTCTTCTCACTGCTGCGTTGGTTTCTTGTCAAGTCTTCTCACTGCTGCATTGGTTTGTTGTGGAGTCTTCTCACTGCTGTGTTGGTTTGTTGTGGAGTCTTCTCACTGCTTCATTGGTTTGTTGTTGAGTCTTCTCACTGTTGCATTGGTTTGTTGTGGAGTCTTCTCACTGCTGTGTTGGTTTGTTGTGGAGTCTTCTCACTGCTGCGTTGGTTTGTTGTTGAGTCTTCTCACTGCTGCATTGGTTTGTTGTGGAGTCTTCTCACTGCTGTGTTGGTTTGTTGTGGAGTCTTCTCACTGCTGTGTTGGTTTGTTGTGGAGTCTTCTCACTGCTGCATAGGTTTGTTGTGGAGTCTTCTCACTGCTTCATTGGTTTGTTGTTGAGTCTTCTCACTGCTGCATTGGTTTGTTGTGGAATCTTCTCACTGCTGCGTTGGTTTATTGTGGAGTCTTCTGTCTGCTGTGTTGGTTTGTTGTGGAGTCTTCTCACTGCTGCGTTGGTTTGTTGTGGAGTCTTCTCACTGCTGCGTTGGTTTGTTGTGGAGTCTTCTCACTGCTGTGTTGGTTTGTTGTGGAGTCTTCTCACTGCTGTGTTGGTTTGTTGTGGAGTCTTCTCACTGCTGCGTTGGTTTGTTGTGGAGTCTTCTTACTGCTGCGTTGGTTTGTTGTGGAGTCTTCTCACTGCTGCGTTGGTTTGTTGTGGAGTCTTCTCACTGCTGTGTTGGTTTGTTGTGGAGTCTTCTCACTGCTGCATAGGTTTGTTGTGGAGTCTTCTCACTGCTTCATTGGTTTGTTGTTGTGTCTTCTCACTGCTGCATTGGTTTGTTGTGGAGTCTTCTCACTGCTGCGTTGGTTTATTGTGGAGTCTTCTGTCTGCTGTGTTGGTTTGTTGTGGAGTCTTCTCACTGCTGCGTTGGTTTGTTGTGGAGTCTTCTCACTGCTGCGTTGGTTTGTTGTGGAGTCTTCTCACTGCTGCGTTGGTTTGTTGTGGAGTCTTCTCACTGCTGTGTTGGTTTGTTGTGGAGTCTTCTCACTGCTGCGTTGGTTTGTTGTGGAGTCTTCTCACTGCTTCATTGGTTTGTTGTGGAGTCTTCTCACTGCTTCATTGGTTTGTTGTTGGGTCTTACTGCTGTGTTGGTTTTTTGTGGAGTCTTCTCACTGCTGTGTTGGTTTTTTGTGGAGTCTTCTCACTGCTTCATCAGTTTGTTGTGGAGTCTTCTCACTGCTTCATTGGTTTGTTGTGGGGTCTTCTCACTGCTTCATTGGTTTTTTGTGGAGTCTTCTCACTGCTTCATTGGTTTTTTGTGGAGTCTTCTCACTGCTTCATTGGTTTGTTGTGGAGTCTTCTCACTGCTTCATTGGTTTTTTGTGGAGTCTTCTCACTGCTTCATTGGTTTGTTGTGGAGTCTTCTCACTGCTTCATTGGTTTTTTGTGGAGTCTTCTCACTGCTTCATCGGTTTGTTGTGGAGTCTTCTCACTGCTTCATTGGTTTTTTGTGGAGTCTTCTCACTGCTTCATTGGTTTGTTGTGGAGTCTTCTCACTGCTTCATTGGTTTGTTGTGGAGTCTTCTCACTGCTGCATTGGTTTGTTGTGGAGTCTTCTCACTGCTGCATTTGTTTGTTACAGGTGGATGCCCATGTGGACACGCTGATTAGTGAGCAGGCCTCCTTTGTGCTGGGCAGGGTTGGGCTGTCTCCCATCTACAGCTCAGTACAACAGCATCAGCCCAGCCAGGTAATACCCCCTTAGCCTGTAGTAGCCAGTAAAACTATCCATGTATTAAGTAAGGATGTCATTGTATATCGCCGTACTGAGGCTAATTGGTTAATTTGTAATGTTGATGCAGTAACAGTACAAATTCATGCCCATCAGTACAAATAATAACTCACTGCCACAGAAACATTTACATTATGAAAATTACCATGTTTAAGGAGAAGGCAGAAAATTCAAACTGAAACAGTTAATGGATCAGCTTTGTTTATACCGTATTCGACGTGATAAGCTCCCAGGGCGCTCTCAAAATTAGAAATAGGGGGCTCTTATTAGAATATAATTTTGGTAAGAAAAAAAAACGAGTTGAAAGATCGTATATTACTAGATTTATGTACCTGAAATGATGCAAAAGAAAAGTCTGTGCATATTATACACGACAGATATATTTTTCCAGATATTAATTGCCCATAATTAAGGGTGCATATAACACATGAGTGTGTATTATACACGATTAGATAAGTCTTGTGTACATTGATCAATCGGAAGAAGTGCTAATTGGGATTGTTCACTAGCCAAAATATTAGCAAATATCACCGTGGGCACTTATTAGAGCGGGGCGCTTATTACGCCGAATACGGTATTTACCATTAAATTGATCATTTGCAGATCTGCATAGGTTATTTTTGTCAGTATTCTTACAAAATGATAAATTTTATTATTAATCAATATATCAATATATATCATGATACGTTTGAGTTGATATATCAATGACAACGCAAGTATTAAGTTATCTATGGTTGAGCTGTAAAAGACAAGTGTGCCATATTTATTCTTTCAGTACCTTTCACTTTCATTGTGTAACAATGTATCTGTTAACAAGGTTCTAATGCACTGTGATATAAAATTGTACAGTATTGTAGCTTTGTTTTGAAGTCATTGGTATACACAGTGTTATATCAGCAGGATGTCTCTGAAACATATGACATAGTTTTAACATATCATGAGTAAGAGTTCAGTAAAGAATGACCAACAGACTCGTTAAACTGTGGGAGGACAGTTACATAATTGTTCTACAGCAGTTCACGGTTTGGCCGTGTAAAAAGCCTATGGATTAGTTTTGCTGCATTGTAAGTGTGTTAATCCTATGATAATGATTTTGAATAAAGATTTTTCAATTAGAATTATTTTCCACATCACCCTGACCTATGTTCCTTCGCTGCTCTCCTCAGGGCCCTCTCTCAGTGGTGCAAGGCATGGATACACTGACAGTGAAGTCTGCCATGGTAAGGAGCTTCCTTTCTCCCCATCCTTCATTGTCCATTATCAATACCTCCATGTCAGAATGATGACATCTGATTGGTCCCCTAGATCTTGATTAATCAATCTTTATTCATGGTACTTATGAGGCCAAAGGCCTATAGTACATTGTCTGGGGCGTGTTACAAATTCTTACATTTTCTTAGTTTCATAGCATGATAAACAAACATTAATAAATTTCTATTAGTTTCTGTACAATCACAAGTCATTAATTTACAAAATTTGTTACTGTTTGGGTTGCGGTAGAAATAGTTATTTAGATATTTTGCTCTCAAATCTTTATACACTGCACACATAACAAGTGATATTCATCTTCAATACAATCAATTTTACAAATCCTACAAAGTCTGTGATCTCTTGCAATACCTTCAAATCTGCCTGTTTCAATAAATAGATCATGTGAGCCACAACGAAATCGAGAAAGCTGTTCTAAACTTATGATCTTGATTAAATACTGTGTATCCCACCTTGGAGGGAAATAAATTCTCAGCGGGTGAAAAAGTCACACTTCACGCATTGTCCGAGTCAGTGAAAGTCACGTGACAGCACAGCTGACCTCAGCTGAATCGGACAGCTGTTTTCTATGAATTTTGAATTGTTTTAATTCTTTTGCAATGTCACAGTAAAACATGTCGGTAAGATAAATTAGTGTCAGCAGGGTCACTCGGGGTACATGGGGTTTTATGCGTCCCTCGTTAGGTATAAAACCTAAAGCGGGACACATTAAACCCCATGTACCCCAAGTGATCCTTCTACAACTTATACTATGTCTCCATCCTATTGTGACTTGATGCCCGGCCCAGTGCTTGGCAGTTGGGAATAATACAAGGACTCGCTGGCTCAAATCAGCATACTGTGTCTGAGTTGGGTATCCATCTCAAACTGCGGCATGGTATCTCAGTGGGCTAGCACTATTAAACCAGCCAGTTAGTACAAGTAGCCACACATACATTGCTATGTATGAGTTAATAATCTTGAATGAGACGTTACACCCTACTTCACCTCACCTCATCACTGTCTCCATATCTCTCATGAACTGAGCGACCCGTGAAGATCCGGGGTAGAATAGGTCTTCAGCAACCCATGCTTGCCGTAAAAGGAGACTATGCTTGTTGTAAGAGGCGACTAACAGGATCGGGTGGTCCGACTCGCTGGCTTGTTTGAAGCATGTCATCGATCCCAATTGCGTAGATCGATGCTCATGATATCAATCACTGGATTGTCTGGTCCCGACTCGATTATTTACAGACCGCCGAATATTGCTGAGTGTGGCGTTAAACAACAGATCAACCAACCAACCAACCAACTCATCAACTAAGCATTATAGTATTGCCTCACTCATAAGTGTATTTTGAATGTATGGCCTCTTTTAGCATTGTGTCATGTAAAGAGGTCTCAAAATGAAGCTGTGGTGGCAAATGTGTCCAGTGTATATTGAGTAGGACTGGGGTGAGTTCAAATTTACTACCCGGGTACCCATCCCCCTATTACTCGACCCTACCCGAGTACCCGCTGTAGGTCTCAAGAGATAGCTACAAACTGTCCAATTGGGAAAGTTTGACCTTAGCCCTGGCAAAATGTATTTAGATACTCATATAAAACGATCTGGTCATGCATTCACTGAAGTTTACTGCATGAAGTTTTATCTTTATTCAAACATATAAAAGTCAGAAGAAGTGGGTACATTGTCAGAAAGAAATGAGAACATTAGTTACTTAGTGTAACCATAGAGTTTTAGTTAAATTTTGTTTTTAAACTATATATCATGTGACTAACCACGGGTCCGGGTAGTCCTGTGGGTATCTGGGTCCTACTCAGTACCCACCTGATCCGAGTACCTGAGTTACCTGTCCCAGCCCTAATATTTAGGTCAGACCTTTTTTAAGACTTGGTTTGTGAATCTGCCGAATGAGAAAAAGGTGAAAAGCAGTGTTCTTTTATTCTGCCGACCAGAGATAAGTAAAATGTTTCAGAAAACAATGCATTTATTGTTGCTATCAATGTAAGTTATTTATATAAATGCAATAACTAATCAAGAATTTATCTTAGAAACTACTTAATGTTTTGAGGAAATAAAAAACATTTGAAATTGGAATATTTGGGGTTTTTTACCTGACAACCTGAATTTTTGGGCTAAATATCAGTGAAAACACCTTGCACCTACCCACCCCCACCCCAGTTATTTTGGCTGTATCATTAAAGAATGGCCATAATACGCTGGATAGTCGACGATGTTGTACATGTTGCATTATCCGAGGAGTTCAACAAGAGGTTGAGAGACCTTCTGATGGGAATAGTGGGTGTGTCAGGGGACAGATTGCTTGGAAGATGTCATTATGCCAATAGTACTCCATACTGACTTGGACAATATACATTCCATGTGAGTAGTGTGATACACATGGCAATTAGTGTAATACCATTGGCATGGCTGTCCCTGTAGTTTAATATCAATACAAAATATTAGATTCTCATTACCCAGTTGACTCACATGGTTTTCACTTCATAAAGCTGAAGACCAAGGATGATCTGGGGTAGAATAGGTCTTCAGCAACCCATGCTTACCGTAAAAGGTGACTATGCTTGTCGCGAGAGGCGGCTAGCGGTTTCGGGTGGTCAGGCTCGCTGACTTGGTTGATGCATGTCCCGTATCCCAGTTGCATGGATCGATACTCATGATGTCTATCACTGGATTGTCTGGTCCAGATTTGATTATTTACATACCGCCGTTATGTAGCTGAAATATTGCTGAGTGCGGCGTTAAACAACAAATAAACAAACAAACATCATATAGCTGACGGTGGTGACACGTCTTCAGTTACTGATCATGTTTAGCCTCCCTTTTAGAAATATTATGTGTAGGTGGGGTAGCCTGGTGGTTAAGGCATTCACTTGTCACACCAAAGGACCCGGCTCAATTCTCCACATGGGGATAATGTGTGAGGCCAATTTCTGGTGTACCCCACCGTGGTGTTACTAGGAACTGCTAAAAGAAGTGTATAACCATACTCACTCGTTCAAAATATTATGTAAAAGTTTTCCTTTCTTCTATTCCAGAACAAGTTTGACAGTTACCTTGCCAGTCCTGATGCTCTGATCTTGCCACAGTGTAGCCTACTGTTGAGTGCCTTGGTCAGGTATGCTATAACTTTATTGATCATCACACTTACAGACCAGTAATTGCCTTGGTCAGGTGAGCTATATACATTATTAATCATCACACTGACAGATCAGTAAATGCCTTGGTCAGGTGAGCTATATACTTTATTGATCACGATACTGACAGACCAGCAAGTGCCTTGGTCAGGTGAGCTATATACTTTATTGTTCATCATACTGACAGATCAACAAGTCCCTTGGTCAGGTGAGCTATATACTGTATTTTTCCCAATACTGATAGACCAGTAGAGACTAGACAACAGTGCGTGGTCTGTCATCTTTCTCAATGTGTATTCGGCATATTTGGTCTATAGATAGTCCCACCTGTTAGACGGGTCAACATTGACAAGAGGAGACTTATCAGTCACAATGAAGGTCGCAGGATAAGCCTGATGTCATATAAGTCGGCCAATGGTGACATGAAGTCGAGAATTGACCTTGTTTCTGGACAGGTCTTGTTAGCGAGAGTGTTTACATAGGACATCTGATAGCAAGATATATTTTCAAGTACCTCGAGTCACAAATTGTGAAATAGAAATTATCTGAAATATTAATAAAATAAATTTATGATGCAGTATGTTTATCTTTGACTGTAATAATGCAGTCAGTCATGCTCGACATCAGTGAGTCAGTCTATAAGATAATATATTTGTGATGAGCAGTTTAAAATCACCATGGCCCAGCTGTGCAAAGTTGCATCCCTTGGGCACGCCAGAAACCTATGATTGTGGGTTCGAATCCCAGTTCGCCCCGATTATGTTTCTAGGTTTGTCAGCACCATATACATGCTCGCGGGTTCCACCGAAGTGGTAAACGTCTGCGACCTGCATCACTTGGGGCTTTCCTCCCACATTAAGCTGACACGCCGTGATATAACTGGAATACTGTTAAAAGCGATGTTAAACCAAACTCACTCAATTTAAAAGCACCAAATAAAGATAAAAGTTTGATGTTCGCTGTGTGCCTCATTACATGTTCTGCTGTTACCAGGGAGAGTGTAAAGCAGAAATCTGCCCAGCTGATCAGTGAGGCGTATAAGCAGATGTACAGCGCCATCTACATCCCCTCCAACGAGTACAAGGAACCACAGGGCATTGTCCCCAGAACACCAGACCAGGTTCTCAAGCTGTTGTCATAGTAACAGACGCTGAAGCTGATGACTACAAGAGTGGTTCCTAAGCACCCAGAAAAACTGAGGCACATTAAATCTCAAACTGGCTCACTTCGTCCTGTACAGCCAGGTTGACTTTCCACAACAGTGCAGGACAATAGAATGCCACTCTGTGGGCCAAAGTTTCATTTAAATGGACAAAAGCAGACTTTGTTTGGGTTCATATTTACAGAAATGGAATAGATACTTGAGCTGTCCTTTTACGCATTGCTATGACTCAGTCTATATCTTGAAAGTAACATTTGTCGTTAGGAAGAGAATTTATGGATGTCAACTTCTTTATTATGAGCAACACAGGGTTTTCATGATATCATATTGGAATACATTTGGAAGGCGATCAGTTCACATTTGGTCATTACAGGAAAGACCCAATCATAACATTTCCTTTTTATGAGCTGGAGCCAGTTGAACCAAAGGATGAACAGATAGTGTCGTGACAGATAGCAGGGATTTACCAGGGTTATATATTTTGCGGGTCAAGAGAACAGTGGACTTTACAGCAAGTAATTGTAGGGGTCTCAGGTTAAGAAATGGGGGTCCGAAAAAGGAAATGTGAAAAAATGAATACAGGACTCAACAACAAGGGATGTAATACTACACATGCTCAGAGGCCATTAATTAAAAATAGATAATGAGTTCCCCAATTGAAACATATCTACAAGTGCTTGCTCCAGAAGATCGTGAATCATTCAACTGTGTATTGTATCTTTTACATGATTTATCAAATACTGAAATAGCAGCCTTCATTCATGCTTTCACACTTTCTACATCCCAGTGGATGCACTCTGTATTACTTTTGCATCTGTCTTCAGTTTTAATGAGAAAAGGATGCAGGATTGCATGTCAAGTAAATCTTTGAGATAGATAGCTGTTGAAATGTACCTACAGGTGCTCTTTTCCCCCTGTATGCATGGCAGTGACAATCCCAAGGCTGTTGTTTCGCGATACATAAGAAAACACAGCTTCAGTTGTGTGGAGATTAAAACATCTTTAATGTCCACCCAATCACAATCACTGAATGATGAGGCTTTGATATGCAACTGAAATATAATTCCAAGCAACTATTAAATTCACAATGACCTTACTGTATGTCCAAGAAACTGTGGCCAGATGGTATGATGGGGTAGATAGTTTGGGTGTATTGAGAGGGAGGTTGAGCTTTAGTGTGTACAGATATGCTACTGTTGAACTTGAGAAATGGTGCACTAACATGCTTTGTATATAATATACAAATCTAACAGTATTTATTTTGTATATAGTGATTCTTGTGTAAACAATGGGTCCATAATAAACACTTGGAAACCTCCCTGTGTGGTTATAATTATTCTGATGTTGAGCAAAGACTTCCATCCACAAGATACTGTGAGGAGATGTTTGTTTGTTTGTTTGTTTGTTGTCAAACGCTGCATTCAACAATATTCTATCTATATCGCAGCAGCCTGTAAATAATCAAGGCCAAACAAACCAGTGATTGATGTCATGCACAACCTCCCACACTGTTGGAAAATCCACCAAATCACCATCCCGAATGGTTAAGTTGGGGTGTACCACAACTCCCTAAGCGTGGGTTGCTGGTGACCAATTCTTATCCGTAATCTTCAGCAAATGTGTGTTATTCTGTGGCATGAATCTGTTAATCACTTAACATTTTTTTACCTTCACATCACAGACAGGATGCACAGGTGGCCTCAAGGTTTGAGGCACTTGGACTGGCTATTCAGAGTTGTGTCCCTTAGCCTTTCCAGGATATTGGTTTTAATTCAAGTTTCCCCAATAATAACTATTCATAGGTTTCCCCAGAGTGGTAGACGTCTATGTAATTTAATCTTTGCTTCAATATTAAGATGACAGTGGTCTAATTGGAACTCTGGCCACAGCAGCATGATTCACACCCTCACATTGTTTATGTTCCAGTGAATGATGTTGTAAGCCCTGATATAAGATAGCTACGCAATAAATCACAAAGAACAATGAAGAATGAAGCGTGGTCTATTTCATGATAAGATGTCATTTCTGGAGATTCAAATATGTGCTCACAATTTAATGACATCATATGTTGGATGACGTCATTGTTTTAGAGGGAAGTGTCTTGTAAGTTGTTTCCCATAATGTACCTGGGCTACTCAGATGAACGCAGTGGTCGAACGATCACATACAAATGTTGGAGAGATATGACAATCGGTATTAGGAGAAAAGGAACAGATTATCGACATGATGATTGTGAGAATATGTGGGAAACACCAATCTTAACTCACCTGTTCGTAACATGGACTTGTTTGATATTTCCGAGGTTGGATTATATGGAGGAAGTCATCATTATTAATATTTGGGTAAATATCTTGTACATTTTATCAACATCCTTCAAGAGGCTGCACATAATGTTGATATCTATGCTCCCCTCATGTTTATTTCCCCTGCAGTGTTTTAGTGTACGATAAAAAACTCCCACTCATTGTTTATTTCTTAAGTAAACTGATTCATGTGCTCACCATAGTTCTACTCATCTTGTATCTCAAAGGGACTGACACTGTACTTCTACTCGTCTTGTATTTCAAAGGGACTGACACTGTACTTCTACTCGTCTTGTATCTCAAAGGGACTGACACCATGGTTCTACTCATCTTGTATCTCAAAAGGACTGACACTGTACTTCTACTCATCTTGTATCTCAAAGGGACTGACACCGTAGTTCTACTCATCTTGTCTTCAAAGGGACTGACATCGTACTTCTACTCGTCTTGTATCTCAAAGGGACTGACACTGTAGTTCTACTCATCTTGTATCTCAAAGGGACTGACACTGTACTTCTACTCGTCTTGTATCTCAAAGGGACTGACACCGTAGTTCTACTCATCTTGTATCTCAAAGGGATGGACACTGTACTTCTACTCATCTTGTATCTCAAAGGGACTGACACCGTAGTTCTACTCATCTTGTCTTCAAAGGGACTGACACTGTACTTCTACTCGTCTTGTATCTCAAAGGGACTGACACTGTACTTCTACTCGTCTTGTATCTCAAAGGGACTGACACTGTACTTCTACTCGTCTTGTATCTCAAAGGGACTGACACTGTACTTCTACTCATCTTGCATCTCAAAGGGACTGACACTGTACTACTACTCGTCTTGTATCTCAAAGGGACTGACACCGTAGTTCTACTCATCTTGTCTTCAAAGGGACTGACACTGTACTTCTACTCGTCTTGTATCTCAAAGGGACTGACACTGTAGTTCTACTCATCTTGTATCTCAAAGGGACTGACACTGTACTTCTACTCATCTTGTATCTCAAAGGGACTGACACCGTAGTTCTACTCATCTTGTCTTCAAAGGGACTGACACTGTACTTCTACTCGTCTTGTAGCTCAAAGGGACTGACACTGTACTTCTACTCGTCTTGTACCTTAAAGGGACTGACACTGTACTTCTACTCGTCTTGTATCTCAAAGGGACTGACACTGTACTTCTACTCATCTTGTATCTCAAAGGGACTGACACCGTAGTTCTACTCATCTTGTATCTCAAAGGGACTGACACCGTAGTTCTACTCATCTTGTCTTCAAAGGGACTGACACTGTACTTCTACTCATCTTGTATCTCAAAGGGACTGACACTGTACTTCTACTCGTCTTGTATCTCAAAGGGACTGACACCGTACTTCTACTAGTCTTGTATCTCAAAGGGACTGACACTAGTTCTTCTCATCTTGTATCTCAAAGGGACTGACACTGTACTTCTACTCATCTTGTATCTCAAAGGGACTGACACCGTAGTTCTACTCATCTTGTCTTCAAAGGGACTGACACCGTACTTCTACTCGTCTTGTATCTCAAAGGGACTGACACTGTAGTTCTACTCATCATGTATCTCAAAGGGACTGACACTGTACTTCTACTAGTCTTGTATCTCAAAGGGACTGACACTAGTTCTACTCATCTTGTATCTCAAAGGGACTGACACTGTACTTCTACTCATCTTGTATCTCAAAGGGACTGACACCGTACTTCTACTAGTCTTGTATCTCAAAGGGACTGACACTAGTTCTTCTCATCTTGTATCTCAAAGGGACTGACACTGTACTTCTACTCATCTTGTATCTCAAAGGGACTGACACCGTAGTTCTACTCATCTTGTCTTCAAAGGGACTGACACTGTACTTCTACTCGTCTTGTATCTCAAAGGGACTGACACTGTACTTCTACTCGTCTTGTATCTCAAAGGGACTGACACTGTACTTCTACTCGTTTTGTATCTCAAAGGGACTGACACTGTACTTCTACTCATCTTGTATCTCAAAGGGACTGACACCGTAGTTCTACTCATCTTGTATCTCAAAGGGACTGACACCGTAGTTCTACTCATCTTGTCTTCAAAGGGACTGACACTGTACTTCTACTCATCTTGTATCTCAAAGAGACTGACACTGTAGCTCTACTCATTTTGTATCTCAAAGGGACTGACACCGTAGTTCTACTCATCTTGTATCTCTAAAGGACTGACACTGTAGTTCTACTCGTCTTGTCTTCAAAGGGACTGACACCGTACTTCTACTCGTCTTGTATCTCAAAAGGGACTGACACTGTACTTCTACTCGTCTTGTATCTCAAATGGACTGACACCGTAGTTCTACTCATCTTGTCTTCAAAGGGACTGACACTGTACTTCTACTCGTCTTGTATCTCAAAGGGACTGACACTGTACTTCTACTCATCTTGTATCTCAAAGGGACTGACACTGTACTTCTACTCGTCTTGTATCTCAAAGGGACTGACACTGTACTTCTACTCGTCTTAAGGGGCGGTCGCGTAGCCTAAGGGTTAAAGCGTTCGCCGTCACGCCGAAGACCCGGGTTCGATTCCCGACATGGGTACAATGCGTGAAGCCCATTTCTGGTGTCCCCCGCCGTGATATTGCTGGAATAGTGCTAAAAGCGGCGTAAAACCATACTCACTCTTTCACTCACTCTACTCGTCTTGTATCTCAAAGGGACTGACACCGTACTTCTACTCGTCTTGTATCTCAAAGGGACTGACACTGTAGTTCTACTCATCATGTATCTCAAAGGGACTGACACTGTACTTCTACTCATCGTGTATCTCAAAGGGACTGACACCGTAGTTCTACTAATCTTATATGTCAAAGGGACTGACACCGTAGTTCTACTTATCTTGTCTCTCTATAGGACTGACACCGTAGTTCTACTCATCTTGTATCTCAAAGGGACTGACACTAGTTCTACTCATCTTGTATTTCAAAGGGACCGACACTGTAGTTCTACTCATCTTGTATCTCAAAGGGACCGACACCCTAGTTCAACCCATCTTGTCTCTCAAAGGAACCGACACCGTAGTTTTACTCACCTTGTCCTTCTATAGGTTCAAGCAATGACTTATGACTATAGATGATGCGTCAGTGCACAAATCAGTGATTGCCATGGCTACAGTCCACAAGTGTGGCTTTGAACTTCTTCAGCACCTATCTTGTTCCCTTAATGAGAATGCCTAGTTCACTTCCATCTGTTGCAAATCTTTAACAAAAATTAGTCGGAACTCATTTTGTGGAGAATGTTTTCGACAGCCAAGAGAAGGGCTTCTTGAAACTGGGCTAAAATTGCTCCAGAATCGTTGGAGCGTATCAATGTGGATGGGGATTGTGTGAAAAATAAATTTTTCTATCTTTAGGTCAAGTCTATATTAGTGAGGCTCAGAACCCTCGATCAACCCTCGTTACATTGATGTCGAACAGGTGCACGTCTTGTCAAATAAAATGAACGAACTCATCTTCTATCATTTTAAAGACACGGTGTACACGGTAAAAACAGTATTTAAATGTTGTATCAAAAAAGTTACTGTGATCAAAATTTAATCAATATAGCAATGTCGTTTTTCTTCATAGTCGCCGAAGACATAAAACAAGCCATGACGTCAAAGGGGTGTCAAATTTTAAGTAATTCATTACATTTGATGATAAGGCTTATACTCCATTAATCATTGTGCAAGATGAGTCGAACACCCTTTACAGAATTAGGTGATTGTGTAAATCTATGGAGTACTTTAGACGGAAGATATTGCCTTCCATTTCGCTATGACTTCAAATCATATGTCGTACGATATTACAATTTCTGATTTGTCATGACATACTTAAACGTATACGGTTTTAATAACGATGTATGTGTTGAAAAGCCTATAATATTCGTTCCTCGAGGACAAAACAAAACGGAACTATTTTGTCGTTATCCACAGTTACAATTGACTAGTTCTAAGCATAGCAAAGTTATGGCCCCTTTTCCGACTATCCTCATTTGT